TTATGGATCAAAATGACAAACAATTAACGGCAAACGCTGCAACAGTTTGCATTTTTACGTTGTCTGCGCTGCTGATGTTAAATTAAAGTTTGTAGCTTACATACAGTTTCAATATGTTTCACCACAAATGCTACCAAGATGAATTCCTGTCCGTGTATTGTAGCTGCCGATTATATTTTGACCCCTCTGTTCTCTGGGACAAGCAGTGATGAATAAAACTATTTGGAACAGCAGCAATACTAATGTTTCAGAGGTAATTGAACAATAAATCCAACACGCTTTAGGCACTACAAACCTCCAGCATATTGCCGTGCTGGACTTGTGTGTTTTGCCAAACCATTTGTCCATTTAGTAATTACCCCGCAAGTCAAACAAAGTGGATGGCCTATAAAATGGAAGACAGTGTAATCCGGAGGACGCTCTGCCCCTCACTAAATAATAAACCCATCTAATCGAGTTTGCAAGACTGCAGCATTTATATCTGCGCGCGGCTGTGTGATGAAGTGGAAGACACGTCTTTCCGGACTCTGCACCTTTTCCCATCCCACGTTGCCGCCGTTGCAAATGCGGTGACAGCGCCGAAGAGCTATACGTGCATCAGTTAATTAGACTTGTGAATGAGTCAGTTTTAGACCATCTTCCTGCTCTTTGTTGGTCCACCCCTTAAATTGAAATGAGAATTACAATACGGGCAGATGAGTAATTAGTCTGAGCCGGACGGAATCCCCACTCGCTTAACGGAATCAAAGAGAAGAAAAGATGATGGATTGTGCACGTCTATTTATGTGTGTGTGTGGGAGACAGAGTGAGAAAGAGAAATGAAGACGGAGGCTTTAATCGTGTTCCACTGTCCTGAGAGGAGGGCTAAGTGCATTATCACTATTGTGTCAGCAGTGCAGTTTTCACGTTGGGACCAGTATGGAATGTGTAGAATGTGTTCTTCAGGCTCAGAGCAGATATTGAAGCTGCCGTCTAAACTCAATCAGAGGCAGATAATATAACAATGCTTTATGTTTTTCGCCTGTGTTATCAAAAAATATATAAATAAATAAAGGAACAAGACGGCCCCGCACAGCACAGTGGACTCTGACAGTGGAACATCCTTTAGAAAGACCAAAAATAAATAATGCTGCAAAATGATTTTGCTGTCTTGGGTGCAGTGAGGAATTATTAAAAATATCAGGTTTATAAGCAATGTTACCTCTAAGCCAGCGGTCCCCAACCTTTTTTGCGCCACGGACCGGTTTATGCCCGACATTATTTTCACGGACCGGCCTTTAAGGTGTCGCGGATAAATACAACAAAATAAAACTAGTAACGGTACCGAAAAAAAGAAGATTTATTCATAACACACGTGAAAAGACCCAGGAAAACCGAGTTAACGATAAAAACAATAACAAAATAACGCTGAAAACCGATAAAAACCCTGGAAAAAATACATTTCACACCTGAGCCTCAACTCTCGCGAGTACCAAACGACTCACGGACCGCGGACCGGTACCGGTCTGAGGCCCGGGGGTTGGGGACCGCTGCTCTAAGCTGTGCGCGTGCGCAATTGTGCACTGTTGGCTCGGTCTCTGCACACAGAAAATCTGCGTTGCGCACACAAAAAAAATCTAACCTGAATTGAAATTAAAATTAATACTTTAACAATTCTGTTTTTTAGTGTTAGTCAGTAAGTGACTGGCTGCTCCTGTATGGGATTAGAACGATGCCGCCTTATCCCATTGTCCAGCCAATAATGCGATTCACATTTGTATATACGCAGCTAATCAACGTTGTTGGCAGGCTGTTTTAGCTAGCAAAGCGGCGTTGCTGATGTGGAGTGAAGCCACGTTTCCTATTGGTTGAAAAATTTACTATGCGGACCAATCAAAAAATGATATGGCAACATGGCATTTAGTTGTTTAGGAAGGCGGGGAGTTTTAGGTGACGGCGGTGTTTTGAGATTTGAGAGATTTGGGACATTTAGCGCAAATCTTGTGTAGTTAGTGTGTAGTGTAGTCAATAGTTTTGTTGTGTGTGTCAGAACAATGAGGCGACTGCTGAATGTTACAGGTGTTACAGGAGTCACACATCTCCTGTTGTCAGGCCTGCAGGTATCAGGCTGTTGTTCTCCTTTATCTCATAGTGGACAGAAATTATTTTTGGAGTGGCACAAATAATTTGTGTGGCATCAAATCTGCAGAACAGCTGATTGTTCTGTAAATAGTTTGAAATGTTTATTTGAAAAAACGCCTTGGCTGCATTTTTAGGTAAACAGCTGCAAAAACTTTGTTTGCATAACTCAGTTACTTTTTTGAAGAAGTAACTATATAATTCATTTCCTTTAGAGCTTTATTTAAAAAAAAAAAAAAGAAAGTTGTGTTTTCAAAATTGGAGTTCAAGTTTCAAGTTTCAATAGTGTTAACATACTACACAGGTCATGAACAAGATTTTTTTTTAATTTTCATTGTAAGTGGGCTAAAGCACTTAATTAAAAGTAGTCTAACATAAATGTAAATGCTGTAATTTGATTATTTGAATAAACCATGTAACTTGGATGGATTCGATGCTGGCGGGACCACAGTGCACACGTCTGCTGTCGCTCACAGTGGTCCAAGGGATCGCTCAGAGAGTTTGTGTGTCCGCTCAGACACATGAAAAATTAGAGGGAACATTGCTTATAAGGGTTACAAAATTCTTCATATTTGAGCGTCCATTATAACGCCTTTGAACGTTAGTCAGGTCACATAATCGCATCGCGTCTACATTACCTCTCTTGAAATGATGTGTCAATTTGGCATTAGATTTCTTTCAAATTCAAATCCTTCCAGGGAAATGAGATCGTTTCTCAGGCATAACTCTCAGCATCAAGGCACAGCGAGTAGTTAATGTGCAGTTAAAAGCTTCAGGAATGCAACTCGAGCCCGTCAATAAACGTTAAGCCTGCCAGTAAGGTTTTGACAGCACATCTAGAGTTAGGTTCATTAATGGTCTCAAGCTTTTTTTATATACTTCTCCTTAAAATGACTCTGAACTGAGCAACATGTGTTTTACACCATCACAGCCTAATTGCTCCCTGTCTTTGTCACCTCCCTGTTGTTATTCTGTGCACTTAATATGAACAGCTGAAAAAGACTAAGAGGCGATAACGGTGAACATGTGTTCTTTACATGGGTTCAGCTAAGGGGATCGTAATTACTAAACGTGTAAAAACCTGATAGCAATTCTCGTGTTGTTAAATAACACAAGCAAGCAAAGCTATCATTTCCTATAAAAGGTGTTTAGGAGGCAAAAGGGAAAAATTGTTTAAACTAAATTTTAATTAGTAGAGCATCAGGAACATTTCCTAGTCAAAATATAGTGCATTTAAAAACCCAATGATTTTTTTCACTAATAAATGAGCCTAGCCTAGTTGATTGCCTTGAGTTGTGCTGTTTCAAAGCTGTACTAATCAATATTTTCATAATACAAACAGGTGAAATATCCAAGTGTAGTTGGGAAGGGATTGTGAATATAGATCCGCAGTAAATTACTGACAGTGTGCACTCAGCATCTTAGTCTGTTTGGTTTTGATGTCTACGGTTCTGCAGCACCTCAATAAAAGCTGAACCCTTGTCGGTTTGCTGGTCTGAAGCAGTCAGGTGTGTGTTAACACAATGCCAAGGAGGAAAGACATCTGCATTATTGCTACCCATCAATCTGGGAAACATTACAAAGTCATTTCCATACAAAAAGTTCAAGTCAACTGGAAAACATTCAAGACTGTTGCCAGTCTTCCCAGAAGTGGACGTCACAGCAAACTCCAAGGTCAGACCGTGCAACGCTCCGAGAAAGTGGAAAAAAGCCCAAGAGCTACACCGTAGACTCTACAGGCCTCAGTTAGCAAGTTAAATGTTAAAGTTTATGATAGAAAATTTAAAAAAAGAGTGAACAAGTATGACTTGTTTGGAGGGGTTGCTGAGTTCTACATGCTACTGAATCACAAGGTACACTTAATTTTACACAGGACTGCTTCTCGAACTGGAAGGTTGTTTTTTCTTCTTCTTTACCCTCATAAATAAAACCTTAGAACTGAGAGAGGGTGCACAAGTATGACTTAAATGGTTTTGATGCATTCTCAATCATCCAGGTAAGAAAACCTCCAAGAGGTTATTCTGTTCATCTGGACGTAGCATTTTCAGTGGGAGAAACGTTTCGTCACTCATCCAAGTGACTTCTTCAGTCTCCTTCTTCAGAGACTCAAGAAGTCACTTGGATGAGTGACAAACAATACAATGAGTGCTACATACAACAGCATTTATGAAATATTAGCAACAATCGCTTAAGCTAAGATGCATGGAGATAATAAGAGTAATATATTAAAGAGCAATTTATAGAGTAAACTATTAATGTTTACTGGCAAGTTAGGTATAAAAAAATCCAGATAAATGCTAATGTTTCTTAGCGACTAGCTGAAGTATAATTAGTTATTTTTAAGCTATCATTTTGGCTATAGTCAATATGTAAACACTGATTTTTACTGTCTGTTCTGCTCCTTCTAATGGTGCCTTAAATATAAATGTCAGCTAGAATGTAACTATCTATCTAGGTACTGTAATAATGCTCCCTGCATTATTTAAATGCTATAATCTAATGAGATACAAGCTCACTTAAAGTGAGCTTTTAAAAATAATAATAATATGTAATCTAATTACTGCTGCACTGTGCACACTACTCGACTGCACTATAACAAACCTGAAACATCACATCAGCACATCTCTGTGTATGTTTAAACTGGGTAAAAGAAAGCAAGAAAAATTGGGTGCAGCGCTGCTCTCTCCGAGTTCAAAAGCAAATCACTACAGCGCGGTTACCAGCACACCGATGAATTTTGGACACGAATCAAGGAGTGTTTCTCTAATGCGAGCAGCTGTATAGCTAGTCACCTGCGAGAGTACAGCTGACACACACAGGTAGAGTGTACAGAAGATAACCTGACAGGTGTTGGACACACAAACACGTTTACACGCACACACCTGATGCTAGTCATGCTTCCAGTCTCAGAGCCAAGCTTGCATCTCTCCAGCTGACTGGCGACAATCTGTCGTTCGGCTTCCAGCTCCCTGGTCAGACGTTCAAACTGCAGCTCCTAGAAAGAGAAAGAGAGACGGGGAGGGAGAGCAAGAATGTGTCAAAACAATCTGTCTATTTATTTACTGTCACGTTTACAGTCATCCTGAGCATTAGTTTGGCTGCGTTCTCGCTGACACATTTTTAATTGTTGTGAAATGGACTCCGCAGTCTGTGGTGGGAAAACAGGCCAGATATCGCTGCGTCTGCCAAGTTTCACACTGCCAGATATTCACAGAGAAGAGTTTGACATGTTGCAAAACTGTGACACCAAACTCAAACCATCACAAATGTGACATTTGCTATTGTGCCACTGAGGAAAGTCATGGAACAGCAGAAGGTTTGGGGGAGAAGAATTCTGCTATTTTTGACGTATAGTGTCAAAAAAGTTGTAAGCATTACTCTAATACTTGGCTCATCTATGCACTGACACCCGATGGATTTATACCCTGCTGGTAGGCATATGCTGGTTGATATTAATGGAGTGGTGGGAAAAAAAGTTGTCAGTCACATCTCACAAAAAAACATTCATCCCCCCCTCCCCGCCCCCAATTGTTCTAAGATAACAGACAAGAAGGACAGCCCTAACTGTCCAGCCAGTGTGACGAAGAACTTCAGCTGCAAGAACATCCCTGGGGAAATGCATGTACCATGTTAAAGCTCTGCACATATGTATCTACGAGGAAATTGTGCATTCCCGCATACTCTAAAAATATGAATATGAAGAAATGGGCCCATTGAGATAAACAGCTGGTGACACCAATTCTCCAGTGGAGTGACATTACACCACTGCAGAAGAGATTGCAGCAAAATGATCCAGTCCAAAGAGCCACAAAGAGGATGTGGAAAACATGATGGACATAATTTAGTATGTTTTATGTATTTAATTGGATGGTTTTCTATCTTTCTGGCAGACCAGGAGGTTCAATGGTTTTTTTTTTAAAGGCCGTGCTTAATGGTTATTTCCACTGCAATTGCGTCACATTAGCTACGTTCACACTGCAGGTCTTAATGCTTAATTCAGATTTTTTGATCAAATCCGATTTTTTTTGTCTGCTCGTTCACACTACAAATAAAATGCGACAGTAAACGCGCTCTAGTGTGAACCCTCAAAGCGGCCCGCATGAAGAAGACGTCACACACAACGCGCTCTGTTTAGACCCAGAGTAAACAATGGCTGTATCCCAATTCAGGGTCTGCAGCCTTAAAGTACGCAGCCTCAACGATCCTCAAGGGCCGCGTACTCAAAGACCGCTAAGGCCGGAAGTGCGAGGCTTGTGAAATGGGACGGTCTAGCCTCCGTCGCACTGCCCAGGTTGCCTAGCAACCATGATACTAACAGCTGGAAACGTGTCATACAGCTTTGTTTGACAGACATGAAGGAGAAAATCTTTTGTTCATTTGTTTGTTTCTTTCTACATGAGCTTTGATCATTCTCTGTAAGATTAAGGTCAGCTATTGAACGGCGTATATTTTAAAGTAAAGGCTTTAAAACCAAGTTAGTACAAACGTCACTAATGTCACATAACTTTGCCGACATGTTGCCAACAGTAATTTTTAATGTTCTTCGTTATTAAACATTTGCACATAAATAAGTGACATAATATTCTGTACTTAATTAAAGTTTACTCTTCGGCCGCCCCTCATCCGCCGTTTTTTTTCGGCAAAATTATTCACACCCACCGCCGCGCTATGCATTCTGGGATATGTTGGGCCACGAAGTCTACACCGCCACAGCCTTAAAATTCAGGGAAATGAAGGACGCATTTCAGGGCCGCATTTCGAGCAGCCTTTGAATTGGGACAGCCTTCGGCGCGCCGCTGTGACGTAATCGGCCTTGAAATGCATACTTTAAGGCTGCAGACCCTGAATTGGGATACAGCCCCTATTGTCTGACTGATGGCCCTTAATATAAAGACTTCGGACTTTACATTTCCCAATTTTTGCTTTAAGTTATTTTGTTATTTACATAATAATGTAAATAATCTAATAACTATCCTTATTGCTGTTTTAGAGAGGAGCGGTGCTTCAAAGGATAGTAGCAGATTATATCATCTGAACTGACTAGTAGGTCTTTGGTCATTAGCATGCGAGCCTCTCTTGAAGGGGGACCTAGTAATGCTAATTTGTCAGCTAATGCTAGCTAGCTTGGTTAGCAAGCAGCAACATACACAGAATTTCGCTCACCAAAATTGAAGCACAAGCTTTTTGGACAGTCTGTACCACACAGCAAGCCATTGAACTAGTCAGATAACCTTTTAAAAATGACAAGAGTTTGCGGTTTGCTGAGTTTCAAGTCTGTATTTGTATTTTTGGCTTCTACAACAGTAGCTTTGTGTCATTCAGCCTTGAAACCCATTTTATTTTCTTTGTCCTCGCTTAAGGTAAAGTTTCTTTTCATCGGCTTACACCAGGTTTAAACAGCAACTGGGTGGGGTGTCTGTCCTGACATGGTGATATTAGAGACAGCTCCAAATCCAGGAGCAGAAATATTGTTTAATATTTATAGGACTCTGAAGTGTGAGCCTTGGCTCACAGAGAGTCCAGCATTCTAAGAGTATATGTGTCACAAAATAAGGAAAAATGTAATAAATTGTACTTTTCGCTGTTCCCTTATTTGACAAGGGATCGCCACAGCAGATACTTTGGTATATCTGATATGGCGGATACCCTTTCTGATGCCTGCTCAACCTCTTTAATGAGAGTAAAAAGAGGAACGTCACCACACAAAGTCAAAGCTGGAGCTGTTTAAAACTGTCCAGTAGAGGTGTCAGTAGTATGCTTGTACACTGGTGTTTTAAAATATTTGGTTATTATGACTTTCAGCATTGAGAACCAGAACACTGCAGTCCTGTGCAGACAGAAAATATCTTGCTAGTTAAGCAGACTTGACAGCCATGGCACAGATCATGAAGAATACTCTATTAGGGTAATATTTCACTGCCTGGTTTTATAACGCATGGATATTGACTGCTAATAGCAGCAACTAAAATATACAATACAAATTGTCAAAAAATGAACTTGAGTTATATTTTATATCTAAACTCAATGTATATGTTTGGTTTAGGACGCTGGTATCTGTTCAAGGTTTGGATGGCAGCTTAGTGAAACCTATAAGCTCCATTTTAAAAAGTCAAAAAGTTTTCATAAATCACGCGTACGTGCCATTTAAGAGCAAATCTTTTCATTTGGTCTCTTGATAGAGACCTTTTCTTAGGCTTAATTTATGCGTGATGAATAACCACTAATTAGCTGATGTGCCAACAAGCAAGCAGCTGATTAGGATATTTGTGTCTGCTGCTGTGATCATTATAGCTGATTAAATAAACAAAATTTACCAATTTGTGCGAAAGAAAAAAGAAATAAAACAAGAAAGATCAAATTGTTTTGCTGAATCACTCAAATCAAGTGGAGAAGGCACATCAGCGCTCAGCCACTGCAGTGCTGGTTTCAAAGGTATGGTTTGGATCTTTAAATGGCTTTCTGACAGTCCTTTGGCTGGTTCGAGATAATAAAAGTGACATAACTACAATAAGTCACGCCAGACCACAGGATACAATCAATCACTGTTTCCAAGGCAGCGTTTAAATAAAGACGAGCTATTATGAAAGAAATATGCACTCATCAACAAAGGAAGGAAGTGAAGAGAGTGATACAAGCGCACGTACAGAGCCTATTTCTCAGATCCTTTAAGGTTTACAAGTTTTCCATCACCATCATTAACCTTAATTAATCCCCCCCCCCCTTTTTTTTTTTTTGGTCAGGCTGTGAACCTGGCGGCTGTTGCCTGATGACTAAGACCCTGTGCAGGTAACAACCAACGTTCTGTGCAAAGGTCGTTGTTTGCAGCCCGACTACAAATGCAGATGAATGCAGCTAATAAAAAGCTTAATCATCATCAGACGATAGCTGATTGTTTTCAGATTGCATTTTGGGAAATGCATTCCTCTTGTGGTTTCCACACTCAGTGTTTGGCTGCACATAACCAAACTCACTCAAATGTGACTGATCAGCACTCTGACTGTGCAAACTGAAACCTGAAAGCTTCCGGGACCAAAATGTTCAGCCCTCGTCAGCAAATCCATCATATTCATATGCAAATATCTGTTTACAGGGATTTTTTTCCATCAGTCACCACACAGTACTATAGGAATACGTGACTCCTTGATTAAATCCACCCATACTTAATTAAATTCAGACAATGCATTTAGTAAAGGCGCACACTTCTTTACATACAGTCTTATAGTTGATGGTGCATGTCAGAGTGGATCGGTCTGTCTCAGGGCACAAATGTAGTGAAGGTGACAGTGCCCAAGAGTATAGGTTCATCATTCTCAAATGGAAGAACTTCCTAAATCTGGCAGTCAAACTGAGTAATAGCAGAGGATAACTGTTAGTGCAGCACTCCTCCAATCAGGCTTTGAAGGAAGAGTGGCCGGAGGGAAGCAATTCCTCACTAACAGGTACAAGACAGCCCACTGGTGGTTTGTCAAAAGGCAGCTGATTGGGCTCTTGGGCTATAACAAGAAAAATCCTCTGCCCTGATGAAATAAAAATTGAACTGTTCCACCATAGCTCCCTTTGCCATGTGTGGAGAGAGCCGGGTAGGGAGAATCACCTTATTAATGCCATCGATACAGTCGCTCAAAGTGGTGGTTAGGCAGCATCGTGCTGTAGGGATGTTTTTCCTGTGACAGAGACTGCAAGAGACCCTTCGGAATAAATACAGAATAATCCCGAGTGAAAACCGTTTTCAGAGGGCTCAGGATACCAAGCTAAGCAGAAGGTTTATATTTCAAGAAGACATTGAAACAAAGAACATCACAGAGAAAACACAAGAGTTGCTTTGGATAACACTGTGAAAATCCTGGAGTTTTGCAGGCACGATCCAGACCTGATGCCAGGAGCAGCTCGGGAGACCTGAAAGCGGCCGAGCACCAACACTCTCATTCCAACCCGGCTGAGCTTAAAGGATTCTGCTGAGAAGAATGGCAGAAACCCCTGAAAGAAAGGATCATT